ACAATCCGTACTCCGCTAATCTTTGGGGAAAAGAATTTGAACAAGCGACGGACCTTGCCAAGAAGTACCTCTTGAACGCGCTGCGTGGGCACGCTCGCACGTGGATCAGCATGCGAGCCCTCGCCTGCTCCGTCGCGACTGCCTCTAGCGCACTCGCCTGCCGGCAGTCAAATCAGAAGCTATACGTTTCTGAATCCAACACCCTGCGTGCCTTGTCACACCGCTTCACCTGCCACTACGATTCGCACGCTCTCTTGACAGTCGGCCGCTTCCGAATCCCGCGCCTTCTTGGACTTCTTCACCGCATCCATTTTCTCTGAGTCTCCGAGCCAGGAACGCTACCACGTTGAAAACTGCGCTGATGTTTCACAAACATGCCCTCTTCCACTCCTGTGCCCCCTGGAGACGGCGGAGGGACTCTCGAATGTGCGGCAAAACTGCACTCGATGTCCATGAAAGAAACATAGTCCCCTGAAACTTACGGTCGCGTAAGTGTTTCCCCACATTAACGGTAACACACTAACTAAGACCGAAAGCATTCTCAACACAAGCACAGGCACTGAAATAACCCCGCACTGGGGGGGCGAAGCCCCTCCCCTTTGCGGGAGTCTCAAATGTCGACAAGAAGTTGCAAATGTCAAGCAAAAAGGGCTCCGAAACAGGAAAAGTGTCCCAAAAAAGCCCTGAAATGTCAAAAAAGCAAGGTTTTTTCCCGACATTTACGGTAACACACACTGACTAATACTAAAAACATTCTTAACACAAGACCACTCACTAAAAATGCTGACTCCGCACTGGGGAGCCGAAGACCCCACCCTTCATGTCTTAAAAAAAATGGCGGTTGCCCGACATTTACGGTAAGACACACTAGCTAAGACTAAAAGCCTTCTCAGCACAAAAGCAATCATTAAAATGCTAACTCTGCACTGGGGAGCCGAACCCCCCTCCCGTTGTGGGGAGTCTCAAATGTCGGAAAAATGCAAATGTTAGGAAAGAGGGCTCCAAGAAGGGGAACATGTCAAACAAAAACCCTTAATGTCAGCACGGTCCACTAATACCAAAAGCATACCCTTAATACAAAAAAGAGTGTGCTTAATGTCAAAAAAACGGAGCCCTAAGAAGAGATTTTAACTCCTCGCAAGTCAATTGCACTTGGCTCCTTGCACTTGCAACTTGCACTTGACTCCTTGCACTTGCAACTTGCACTTGACTCCATGCACTTGCAACTTGCACTTGACTCCTTGCACTTGCAACTTGCACTTGGCTGCTTGCACTTGCAACTTGCACCTGACTCCATGCGCTTGGTCGTTGCAGCTCGCAATGACTCCTTGCAATGACTCCTTGCAATGACTCCTTGCAATGGCTCCTTGCAATGACTCCTTGCAATGACTCCTTGCAATGACTCCTTGCAATGACTCCTTACAATGACTCTTTGCAATGACTCCTTGCAATGATTGCTTGCAATGACTCCTTGCAATGACTCCTTGCAATGACTCCTTGCAATGACTCCTTGCAATGACTCCTTGCAATGACTCCTTGCAATGACTCCTTGCAATGACTCCTTGCAATGACTCCTTGCAATGACTCCTTGCAATGACTCCTTGCAATGACTCCTTGCAATGACTCCTTGCAATGACTCCTTGCAATGACTCCTTGCAATGACTCCTTGCAATGACTCCTTGCAATGACTCCTTGCAATGACTCCTTGCAATGACTCCTTGCAATGACTCCTTGCACTTTCATGACTGATGACTTCCTTGCAATGACTCCTTGCATTGACTCTTGATGACTCCTTGCATGACTCATGATGATGATTCATGAGAACAACTCAAGTGAACCCAGCGGAAGAACCCTTCGCCATGCTTTCGGGAACAAACAAACAAACACACAAACAAACATGACACAAACAAACAAAGAACCACACAAACCAACAAACCAACAAACCAACACACAAACAAACACAAACCAACACACAAACACACAAACACACAAACACAGAAACACACAAACAAACAAACAAGCAAGCAAACAAACGAACAAACAAACAAACAAACAAACAAACAAACAAACAACCAAACAAACAACCAACCAAACAAACAAACAAACAAACAAACAAACAAACAAACAAACAAACAAACAAACAAACAAACAAACAAACAAACAAACACACAAACAAACAACACACACACAAACAAACAAACAAACAAACAAACAAACAAACAAACAAACAAACAAACAAACAAACAAACAAACAAACAAACAAACAAACAAACACACAAACAAACAAACAAACAAACAAACAAACAAACAAGCAGGCAAGCAAGCAAGCAAGCAAGCAAGCAAGCAAGCAAGCAAGCAAGCAAGCAAACAAACAAACACAAAAACCAGCAAGCAAGCAAGCAAACAAACAAACACAAAACCGAACAAACAAACAACCAAAAAACAAACACGCGAACAAACAACCACCCACGCACAAACGAACGCACAAACACACACGCAC